CCTGTATCATAGAATCATAGAATGGTTTGGGTTGGAAGGGACGTTAAAGATCACCCAGTTCCAACCCCCTGCCGTGGGCAGGGGTGCCTTCCACTAGAGCAGGTTGCTCCAAGCCCCTGTGTCCAACCTGGCCTTGAACACTGCCAGGGATGGGGCAGCCACAGCTTCTCTGGGCACCCTGTGCCGGTGCCTCAGCACCCTCACAGGGAAGAAATTAATCCTAATATCTAATCTGAATCTCCCCTCTTCTCGTTTAAAGCCATTTCCTCTTGTCCTATCCCTTCTTGCTCTTCCTGAAGTTTTATGCAGGAAGAAAGTTGCAAATGAGTTGGTAGGGGGTTTTTCTTCTCTACTTCTTCCTGGGGAAGGAAAACTAGTCCTCATTTGAAGAAAATGGACTATTTCTGAAGTTTATGAACTCCTAAAGTTGTTAATTTGTTCGTTAAAATATGTATATTATCACTAATAGCAGTAAGTGAGAAAGGGTTAATGTCTTAAGTGCATTGACTTTCTCTGCTTTACTTAGGTTACTTTGATTATGGTTAGACTGCCTGCTGCTATAGTGGTGGAACTGGGAGAACTTGGAGAAAACTACTGCAAAGCTTTATCTCTGCCTTTTTATCATCTTGCTCCCAAAGGCAAAAAAAGAGATGTGCAGGGACTTTTCATATGTGGCTAACGTAGTCAAGGCAGTTACTTGGTACAGGCGATCTTGGAAGCTCTTGCTTTTTGATTTGGGAGAGATACTTGGGAAGCTGCATAGGTCTTTGCTTTGATAATCTGAGAAGTTAGCAGAAAACTGACTTCTGCAGTTGTATTTCTGGAAAGATGAGATGTTCAACCAACTCACCTTAAGGATCTCTTTGTTACAAAATATTGGAAATCATTAATCTGTCTTCTGTTCAACACAGTGTATATTTGTGGTATAAGATAAAAGGGACCTCTTTAACTGTGTCCTTGATAGTTAGGACAGTGAGAAGTCTGAGGGAACCTTCACTAACTCTTCAGAAGTAATTCTTACCAAATCACCAAGCTTGGTAGAAGAACCTATTAGATTGCTCTTGCAGATTCCATACCCACAATAATCAAGAGATTAAATATATTGTAGATTTTGAAACAGTTATAGAATAATTTCTTTTAATACGTTTTACTTTTAAAACAAGCTGAACAGAAGTTGCTTCTTTTTACTTACTATTTCATGTTTTTTGCCAGTTACGGTCTTGCACTTCTGAGGAACCAAAATACCGCCCAACTTGTTGATTGAGATTTCTCCTTTAAATTTTGCGAACGTATTCTTTTATTTGTGTTGTTTGTTCTCCCAACTGCACTGGTAGAACCCAGCAGCTGGTAATGTTTATGATAATGATCAGTAATCAAATAATTAAGTGTTGATATGCAAATTGCTATTAAGCTCCAGAAATAGCATCTTGTTTTGATGAGTGTGGTAGTTCATGACACTACTGTTTTAGTTTGCAAGTTCAGAATTAGAAAATAATTTCCTGGGTGTTTTGCTAAGTGCACAGATGTGTGCCTTTTCCTAGACATGAATGTTTTCTATTAAAAGTAACCCCTACTAATTCAATTTTGAATTCTTCCATCTGTGCTATGACATGGTATGTGTCTGAAGGAGGTGGGGTACAGGCAGAACTCTGTTACGATTAGGGTGGAAGCTAAGTCATTACTTGTGTTTCCAGTGCTGTCCTTTATGGATGTAACAATAATGGTAATATTGAGGGTAGAAAAATAGTCTAAACGTTCACAAAAATAAGTGTGTTACGCAAAGAATTGGTGTATGATGAGGTTCCTTGAGGGTAAGCACTCACGTAACCAGGGCTCCTGGCCCTGAGCTTTGGGGTGATGGAAGCTGGGAGGGTGATACAGGCCACAGCAACCTTTCTGGTAGCTGAACTGGTAAATGAGTAGAATGAATTGTATGATAGGATGGGAAGTGGTCCTGAAATTAGAAAGTAAAGTTCATTGTTTAAATTTTGAGTGCCTTCTGTTGATGTCTGAATGACATCAGGTGTTAGGTCTTCTGAATTTGTCTAACAGAAAGCTGTTGCCAGAACGAGTTTTTTCCCTACGCTTCTTCCTCCCCGAAGTGCACTTTTTCTCCCTTCATCCGTGTGTTTAAACTGTCAACCTTGATGACCTTACCAGAGGGACAGCTTGAAAGCTTGATCTGCAGGAAGCTGCACCCTACTGTTGGTGGATTCACTGTGTCCTTGAAGTGGCTTCCCCTGAGGCCAGAATGCATTGACAGTCCTGTGCAGGGAAGGTGGTGGGAACACAGGAGGGGGAGTGTGGAGAGGAGAGCTGTGGGAATGGAGCCCTGCGCTTCAGTGCCAGGTAGCCGTGGAGCAGCTTATGGGATATTTTTGTGGTAACATAAAGTGTTAATGAACCTTAATGTGAATTAAATGCTTAAACTCCTGTGCGTTGAGAGATGTGAAACTATGAGAGTTGGCCTTCATAGCACAGAACGATTGATAATGTTAATTTCATTTTATGCAACATAGATTTGTTACTTTGGTAACAGGAAGGAAATAGTAATTTTTAAAAAATATACCTGTTATTATAGAGAAGGATAAGAGCCTAGATCTTCCTAGACAGGCAAAGAGCAGATCAGTTGTAGACATGTTGCCAAGCTGAGCTTGACTGGCCTTTATTTGAAGTGTTAATAGATGTATATACCCAGGAACTACTGAAGGGGTGGAAGGGAACTGTTTGCTCCAGCTGCAAATCTTTCTTAACCAGAAGTGAAATGGAGTATGCAGAAAACCTGTCCTTTACGCAGTGTAACTTCTGGCAATGTGCTTTATGTTTAGTTGTGGAGCAAACAAGTTTGGAGTCTGTTTTTGTTGTGTCTTCCCATCTAGAACTATATTCAAGTTCCCTTTATCTCCACTGTTTCATCTCTGTCCATTTATAAGCTTAGGTTTTGTGTATGTGTGGCTTGTAGGCATTTTGTGAGTTGCACAGCTGAGGTTATGACCCTTCACTTGAGCATGAATATGGCATGCTTAGTTACCCTGTTTTAGTCACATGAATGTATTTTTTAAGACAGAAGGGCCATTGTCAACTGTATGGACTAGACCAGAAAATATCAGTCAGTGATTTCCACGTGAGCTTTCAAGGGTGTTGTTCCAGATGGATAGATGTGTTAGGGTGGCCAGGGCTAGCCAGTGAGCTCTCTGGATCATGGGGAGGTAGCAGAAAACACCTGTATTTTTTGGAATCCTGGATGGTTTGGTGACCCTGTGTTATGATCAACCACTATTTCACTTGCTGAATTAAGATCCTACTTATTCTTTTGTTGTGCTGTTTATTTATAAACTGGAAAATTGTTACTGGAATAAATGTCCCAATGCACTCTTAACTCATTCTTTCTTAATCCCTGCGTTTTGAATGTTAAGATTTAGTATTCACCCTTGTAGACACTCAGCTTAATTCTAGAGATGGAAGTCCCTGTCTTGGCCTCGTTTTTGAGCTAAAACTTTTGGGTGGTTTTTTTTTTCTTGGACGTGTGAATATTTTTTCTCCCCTCTTCCTAAGTCCCTTCTTTTAAAATGAAGACATCTGGGTAGCAGCCTTGCTTGCATTTCAGTGCATTAGTTTATCACCTGAGGCTTCTGAGAAAGTAGATGATGAAGGCTTAAAAGGGTGCTTTGTTTGGGGATAGTTGGGTTTTTTTAAATGTTTAATCTTATTTTTTAGCATGTATTGCTGTTCATTGAGCCCTAACAGTGTACTGGTCAACCTCCTGCAAGCCTTGTTTTCTACTGATACAAAAGCTGCAGATTTCCTTCTTGGCTGTATCAAAAAGGGAAAACTGGCCTGTGGCAGGGATGCAACTGTCTTGTGCAGTGCACAGGCTTGTATCTAGAGTTTATTACAGAGAGCTAGTAGCTGACCAGGAGGAAAGACTTCAACTGGTTGTCTAATCTCCACAGACTTTTTTGTTTTAAATATCAGTCTTTTTAAATTTGTGTGTGATCTCTTGGCTTATGATTGAACATACTTTCTGGTAAAACTTGGACTTGGAGGGTGAAAACCAGACTCTGCCTTTAGTTGTTGCTCTGACTTTAGTTATTAAAGAAATCCAAACAGTACCACAAACAAAAACCAAAAGCAAGCTCGAACTTGCAAGACTTACCAAACACACAGTTAGGGTTGTAGTAATAAAAAGTAACTTTTCCCCTGCTTAATCAGGTGTGGTGATTATTGCGCTTTGGGATAAAGAGTTTTCTAACGGCAAGTTATATTTAAGCATTAAAATTGCTTGGGAAAGTCATGTTTCTGCTGAAGGTGATTGAGGGAGCTTCAGAGGATGAAAAGTTTGTTACGTGGTTTATAAAAATCCTTTTCAGGAATTGAAATTCTCTACAGTGAACATTATTTTTTTCAGAAGTAGTAGCAAAAGTATTTCTAGTCATTAGTTCCATAACTAGAAAGGAAAGAACATTCTGCAGCCCCAAATGCTAATTGTTTTATACTTGCACACTTCTTGAGAGTATTTGTATGGAATTCTTTAGTTCCAAGTTTTGCTCCTGGCTGAGATATTTTCAAAGTTGAATGTGTACTAAGGTAGGTTTGCTGACTTCTCAAATTAAGAGATAGTGAGCTGTGCTTTGCAGTGGAGTAATTGCCTGGAGAATTTTCTCAAACAGAAAATCAGAACTCCACTATATTGTATCATATGCATTTCACAAGGGTTATAAGAACAGAAGACTTCTCAGAATGAAGACCAGAAGTTTAATGTCTTCATGTCAGTCTTGTTTAGGATGAATCATTTGGGCTGGAAGGGACATTGAAGATCATCTAGTTCCAACCCCCTGCCACAGGCAGGGAGACCTTCCACTAGACCAGGTTGCTCCAAGCCCTGTCCAACCTGGCCTTGGACACTGCCAGGGATGGGGCAGCCACAGCTTCTCTGGGCAATCTGTTTTTGTTTCATGTGGGTGGTTTACTCATTTACAAATATTTACTTGTAGGAACATTCTGTGCAGAAAAAGAAGAAAAAGGATAAGCATTCAAAAAAAGCTAAGAAAGAAAAGAAGAAAAATAAGAAAGAAAAATCTGAAAAGAAGGATGACTTACTCGATAGTTCTTCGGTAAGAAAGACACTTTAAAATACTTCAAACAACATTTTTAAAACCTGTAGTATTTTAGTCCCTGTGGGTACACATGGTTAGTAAAAGTACGCCTCATTCTTACAATCTTCTTTTGGGAAAAATAGTGGTAAAGTTTGGCTTTTTAATGTACTAATTAATCAATTTAGAAGTTGCTGTTATGTAAGTGCTTGTGAATTTGATAATACTGAATACTTGCATTAGGATCTAAGGAATTTATAGTTTTCAGCAGCAAGAAATTGAAAAAAATCCTCATTCTAGGTTAGAGTGGAAAAATTCACGGGTTCCTTGTAATCAGTAGTATATGGCAGAATGAGGTGTCTAAAACTGCAAACATTTGACTTCAGTTTTAAGCATGAGTTACTGCTGCCTTTTTCCATGGAAACGCCCAACAACATGGGAGTTGTATATGGGTCTGAAGGAAGGCTCAAACTTGTGCATTTGAATCTGTAAACAGATGCCTTCACATGGAGAGGCATTCTGGCAAAACAGTATAGAGACTGCGTTAGAAATCTGGATGCTGCTTTCTGGCAGCATTGTGTAAAACACCCTCCCAGTATTTCTGTGCAAGTCAAGTAGCATTTTTTTTTTATTATTTTATTTTATTCATTTTATTTTCTCTTTTCAGACAGTCTCTTTTATTGAGTGAAGGAACGTGCAGTATGATGAGATTTATTTTCTAGGGACTGGTCTCAGAGGTTAACTATGCTTTTCAGTGTGGGAAGTAACCTAAGGCACAAATGTCCCACATTTCCCATCAAAGTCATCAAAATCCCTCAGATCACATCAGAGAGTTCTAGGCTGTCACTGGCTGATACCTTCAATCCAAAGTCTGTTATTCCCATGACAGGTTCATGTGAATAGCAAAGAAACTCTGTTCAATGGAGTCCTATTCGCTTCAAGGGTAAAATCTCAGTGCAGTTTGCAAGCGTAGGAAGTTAGATATGAAAATAGGAGATAGCATGTATAGTGCTTTATATTGTACTGTTATGAATTTGCCATTTTAATGTAAAATATACTTTGTAATGAATTTAGATTTTTAAAATTTTGGGGTTTTTTGTAATGCCATGAAAACAATTAGTTTAGGTTTTATTTTTGTTCTGACAGTTTTAACTTTAGCAGTGTTATACGAATAAACTGTCAGTATAAACTAGTGTTACATACTGTGATACACGGTGGAATGTTTTGATCATGAAGAAACAATCTCCTATGGGAATATCAATATTCTATTTTAATTATAATAGAATCATAGAATGGCTTTGGTTGGAAGGAACATTAGAGATCATGTAGTTTGATCCCCACCTCCCACAGACAAGGGCTCCTTCCACTAGACCAGGTTGCACCAAGCCCTGTCCAAACGGGTCTTGAACATTTCCAGGGACGGGGCAGCCACAACTTTTCGGGGCAACCTGTTCCAGTATCTCACCACCCTCATAGTGAAGAATTTCTTCCTTATATCTAATCTGAATTTACCCTTTTTCAGTTTAAAGCCATTTCTTCTTGTCCGTATAAAAAGCCCCTCTCCACCTTTCTTTAGGTACTTTCTCCAGGCCCCTTTAGGTACTGGAAGCTGCTCTTAAGGTCTCCCCGGAGCCTTCCCTTCTCCAGGCTGAACAAGCCCAACTCTCTTGGCCTGTCTCCGTAGCAGAGGTGTTCCAGCCCTGGGATCATCTTTGTGGCCCTCCTCTGGACTCGCTACAACAGGTCCACGTCCTTCTTATGCTGGGAGCCCCAGAGTTATCAGTATTTCTAAATAATAAACAGTATTATAAAAGTAATGCTAATCAGGATCAATATCGATTATCAATATACTTGGTAAGTATTGCATTTTATCAACATATAATAGTATGTTAAGATGTTATTATTCTTTCCATTTAACTCTATTTTTAGGATTCTTCAATTGAATGGGTTGAGTCAAATGTGTCACAGCCATGTAACACAGAAAAGGCTTGGAAGGTCAACAAGCAATCAGATGCTGTGAATGAACCTTCCCTGCAGGTGAGCAGTCTGATAAGTACTCCAGAAATAAATTCAGCATGACTGATCATGAAACGTGCTTAGGTTTCTTGGCAGCTCTTTTGCAATCTGTTGAACAAAACCTATTTTACAGACAAATGTCTTTGTTTAGCCTAGGTAATGTTACATTTCATTTATTGGATGACTTCTCTACCTCAGTATTTAACTCTCTACCTAAGTATTTAACTGCACTTAAAGTTGCCTTGCACCAACGCCTTTCATCATGTTTTGAGGCTCTAGCAACTTAGCTTGATTTTCTTGAAGAGGTCCACTTAAAGACCTTGAGTAGCACTTTGCTTTTTCTGCAAAATTTCAGTGGCTGTTCTGCAGTTGAATGAATTTTTGCTTCTGTGATGCTTTAACAGGTACAAGGAAGAGACGTGTAGAACTTTTCAGCAACAATATTGATGGAATCAATGCTTCTTTTGATCTTCCTAGGTGATTTCTGTGCCCAGTAAGCAGTGTTTATTCTGGAAAATGGAGTAATTCTGAAATGAAGTGCTGTGATTTTAGTAACATAAATGTAGTCACATATCACGACATTCTCAGTTGTGTGGAAATTATGACTTTTAATTTCATGTCTAATTCCACTCCTGAAAAAACTCCTCGTTTCTGATTCTGAATTTGTGCAACTTGTTAAGAGAAAAAAAAAGTATCTCTGAATCATATCTATCTTCTTGGAAAAGTCTAAAGTAGTGAAATACAGATCCTTCTGTATGTCATGATAATTTATACTACAAAAACAATTTTATCTAAACATTTCTTGTATAAAGTATGCCTTGGGCTTTTCTATTTCTGGATAAAGAGTTTACTTTTGAAAGGAATATCCTGGTCACTCCTACTTTTTGTATTTTGGCTCACATTATGAAGAAGTCTTGGAGCATGTAAATCCATTTTCTGCTGGATTAAACTAAATTAGAAGATACATTCTCAAAGCGCACCTAAGGTGCTCCACAGGACCAGATTCAGACTAGTCCAAAATGATTACTGAAAAAAGTAAAAGAGAGAGACACAACCACCACCCCCACCCCCCACCCCCAGATTGCAGATGTGAGGCCTACACCGAAGTCACAGCCAGGCTCTTTTCACTGGTGCCCAGTGACAAGACCAGAGGCAATGGGCAGAAACTCAGGAGTTTCTGAACAGGAAACAGTTTTTTACTGTGGCACTAGCACAGATTGCCAGGAGACGTTGTAGAATCTCCATCCCTGGGTATTTTTATAAGCTCTCTGGTCATGGTGCTGGGCAACTGTCTCTAGGTGGCCCTGCTTGAGCAGGAGAGGTTGGCCAGATGACCTCGAGGTGCCATGCACATCCAGTTCTGTTGATACATGGTGCTTGCTAATGTGGGTATAGACACTATGGAATCACTTGAAGACAGATTATTTTTCAGTTCCTTCTCTTTCTTAGAGGACATCTGAGAAGTGGAATGATGTGTTTCACATCTGAAACTCTCTGATGTATTGCCTAATAAAATTTTTAAATAACAGAGAAAGTGTGACGTAGAACATCTGTTTGGATTGACAACTGAGACTTGAACACTGCCGAAGATACAAAGACTCTTCTGCAAGGACATATTTCAAAATAGGTGCAATCTTGCCATTTTGCTTGCTTTACTATCCACTGAATTGTTCCAAATAGGCATATCTAAGCTTTTATTTATAGGAATATGTTGCTTTTATTTAGAGAGGAGCCCTCATTTTTAAAATATCCTTGGTTTTGTAAATGCAGTTTTCTGCCTGTTAATGTGGGTACAGTTCACAGAATTTAGATGTGTAATTGTTTAATTTGAGGGTGCAGTTAGTGTCTAGATATCCAAGGTATGAACTATGCTCAGTTACTGATTGTAGATATTGTATATACCCGAAAAGGTGGAAGAGGTCATGAACTCAGAATTAGCAAGATGAAAAAGAATTGGTCTAGATGTAGCATTTGTTTAAGCAAATAATAAGTTTTTATATGGTTTGCTTGTTTACTAGTGTCTTAAATTCATTGTGAAGGTGTATTTCAAATCACAGAAAGACATTTGTGAAATTTGTGTAAATGAATATTAAAAAATTGAAAGATTTAGCTTCTTAAAATCATGTTTTCTTTTCATTGAAGCATTTCGTATATGTTTGTAAAATCTGTGCTGTTTATCGTAAGTAACATTTGTCAGTAGTTGCCCTGGTTTGATTTGTACTGAAGCCACATTTTTGTTAGAAGTATGAACACTGATTCTTTGTGTTTATTTTAAAGAGAGAAGAATGGATGAATTTAGACTTCATGTTGTTGAAAACCACATCATCAGCAGCTGTCAGAGGTGAACGACACAAAGAACAAATCTTGGAACGGCAGAAAGCTCAAGAGCTTGAGCAGGTAGGAGGAATTAATAGAGCAACTTTTTTATGCATCTTACTAAATTGTGTGTGATGAAAGAACCAATGAATTGGTTCAAATATGTAAGTCTGCATAGTTTTTAAACGAATGCCTGATGCATTGTGTAATAGTGATTTTTAATTGAATCGGTCAGTTATTTGTTCTGTTTGGGATGGGAGGGGTTCATATAGCAGGCTTATCTTGTGGAGAAAAGCCTTTGAACTATCTCCTGGGTTAGTACTAAGTGCTGTAATATCTGAAGGGCTTCTGGGATGTTTTACTTAGTGACAGACTGTTGGTCCGGCCTTATCCCCATGTTGTGTGTGGAAGGAGCACCATTCTTTTGTGTGATAAAGCTTACCTAAGTTAGTGTGTTAAAGTGTAGGGTGCTGAGACTTTTTTTTTGCTGAAGAAAGAATTCAGAGCAGTTGCTGTGCCTTTCATGCTGCAGTTGCACATGAACACGTAGGGGGATCAGGGTCTGGATGGGGAAGGGGTTGCTGTCATTAAATTAGTTCTGTTTACATACAGTTACTGGCTGCTTCATTTGTTCATTCAGCTCCTTAAATGCAGTGCAGTCTAATCTGAAAACATAGTTGCTGATCACTATCTAATAGTTAATTGTCCTCACATCTTATAGTAGGCCATTTGTTACTCTTAGGTTATCCAGTTAGTTGTGTTGTGGCTAGGAACCAGATTGACTTGGTGTGCTGTTCTTTTGTAGTATGCAGCACTTTGGTTATTGTCTTTTGAGAAGGGATTAATCTATGTGGTTTTTTTTCCCCACATAATTTTTTGCTGAGCACTTTTTCTGAATTGTTGAAGGATAATTTAAAATGTGGAGATCTTAAATCACAAAAATGTCAGCACGTATTATATGATTAATGACAATTTATATGTATTTTTCATCATGGAAGAATACGATTTATATAGACTCTCCCACCCAACTACTTCTACACCATGCAGGTTTATACTTTTGTGCTTTCTACACCAGAATGTCTGTCCTTTTTTTGATACCCAGAACAATGTGTAGAACAAATGCATGCAGCATGCCAGTGGTGGTGATGAATTGAAGATAGACCATAGACAAATTCAGAATTTAGTGCTGGAATGCCTAATCATAATCCACTGCCTTTTCTTCAGTGGACTTCTTTGCCTGGTTCCAGATAAATCAGTTGACAGAATCACAATAAGCAATCTTGTTTGAGGGTGAAAAGCAGTAACTGAGGTAAAAGCAAGAGCCCCCATAACAGCGGTGCTTCAGATACAAGTGCTACCCTGGCAGTGCAGTCAAACAGTAAAACTGCTTCTGTGTATTAAGGGTGCTAACTAAGGACATGTTTGAGAGCTTTGATTCAGGATGGAGAGTTATGTTTATTTCTACCTGACTTCAGATAGCACAAGTTATGAGTAAGCTGTTCTATTCCCACACTGTCTCTCACAAATATTTATCAAATATTCTAGAAAATACAAACTACATGCTATTAAAATTATTTCTGGTTTAGGCCATGCTATCTGAGAGAGAGCTCAATCCCTATTGGAAAGACGGTGGTACAGGTTTGCCACCGGAGAAGGATGAAACAGCTTCAGTTAAGAAAGGTAAACAGCAACTTGTAGTGTGAATCTTAAAATTCTGTCTCCAGTCTCTATGTTGCTAACAAGTTACTACTAATCTTGATGTAAAGGGATTATGAGTAATGTATAATAAAATAAAATCTGGATGAAAATTCAATAGTGAATATTGGGTGAGTATCATAGTATGTTGTTTTGCAGAATTTCTCTTCACTGTTTTTTAATCTTGAGTGGTTTGACCTTCAACATCTTTACAGAAATTCTCCATTTTGAACTAATTGAAGGAGAATATGATTTAACCAAGACAAGATAAATTGTTGTCATCTCATTTGCTTCCTTTTGTTCCATTACACAAATTATAGTTTTAAAATATTCAGCCACAGAAATCTGAGTCACATTAAAATGAAGTACATTACAGATTCAGTTTGTGAAAAATGTAATTTCTCTAACCTTTTCACTTTTTTCCTTACCTTAGGGCTATTCTGCCTGTTTCTAGCAAGAGCAGTTAGAAAAATGTTTTCCATAATGTCATGAAGTGTTTAGTATGTGGTAAGAAGGGTCCTTGTATTTTGTCAACAGGGAAGAGTAGGGTCCCTGGATTTTCTCTCTTTGGGAGCCTTTACTTGTGGATAGGCTGTCTTGCAAACTTCATGCTTACTTTTAGGAGTCACAGATCAGTGATCTGTAAGAGGTGACAGGCGTAAGTGAGTATGTGTTCTGAATGTTAAGACCTCTGCTAGGATCTCAAATGGAAAGTAATGAATTACTCATAAATTTTCTGAGAACGGGAATGCACTTGTCTGTAAATAAGGGATATGTCAAAGAATGGATACAGGAAGTGGAAACAGTAAGAAGGTTCTTTAATTTCATAAAAAAACCCAGAACTTCTAATTTGCTACTCCTATCTTAGAATCATAGAATAGTTAGGGTTGGCAAGGACCTTAAGATCATCTAGTTCCAACCCCCCTGCCATGAGCAGGGACACCTCGGACTAAACTGTGTTGCCCAAGGCTCTGTCCAGCCTGGCCTTGAACATCGCCAGGGTTGGAGCATTCACAACTTCCTTGGGCAACCTATTCCAGGGCCTCACCACCCTCAAAACTGCCTCAAAACCCTCTTGGAAACTGCTTGTTATATTCTATGGTAAAACGGAGAAGCTTAAATTAAATCAGTGTACTACTGAGGTCTATCCAGCATAAGCTTAAATTAAATCAGTGTATTGCAAAGTATATCCAGCATTAACTTATAAAAACATGTAATTGTATTAATATATTCTTCCTATTTTTCTTTTGCACCCCTTCAATTTTTACATTAAGTTAAGGCTTAATGTCTTGTACAGAGAAAGGTTAAATAGGAGTAACTATGGAGATATAAGACTGTGACCTCTCATTGTTTTCTACTTTAGTTACAGTTGTAGAAGACGCTGGATTAAGCTGGTTACGAAAATCATACCAAAGGATGAAGGAGCAGGCTGAGAGAGAGAAACGAAATTTTGAGGAAATTGTTGCTGAGAGATATGGGGTAAGGATCTTCAACTAAATCTTTTCATACTAATAGATGCTTGGAAGAGGTTATTTTCATCTGAAGGCAAAATACGGACCATGTACTGTAAGACATAGAGAAAGAAGTAGGAAAAAAGAGCCTCTGAAGCTTCTCTCAAGTGATGAAGAGGTTATAGCTGCCCAGCTTTTTATACCTTTTTTGTTAAATATTTTTTAATTTGTGTGATTCCTTAGCAAGTTTAAAACACATACCTTCTACATCAGGAGGTTCAAATAATCCCAGTTTCAAAGTACCTGAGTGCTTCCAAAATTACGATATATACTAGAAAACATATTTTGTACTCAGGCACATACGGGATAATAATACATGTTGAGGGTAACAAAAATGCCAGGATAACTTGGAGAGCTGTGTCAAATTTTACTGAGTATGAATCTTCTGGCCACTTGTGTTCTGCTCAGTCCAGATATACAGAAAAAGCTTCTTTCTTCTGAAGGGTTTAAAAGTCATCAAAATTTATTTTTAATAAAGCAGTCTGGAATAACAATATTAAGTCTTCAAACTTCCCTCCCCCTCCCCCCCATATTACATTCTTGATTTTTAAACCATTCGTTGAAGGTGTGAGGTGTTGAATTTTGGCCATAGTGTTAATTTGGGTTTTCTGTGGGCTTTTCGATAAGGCTAGTTTGGTTGTGGAAATCTTGGATAAGACACTATGACTCCATACTTTGTCTTTGAACTGAATCATAGTGATGAACCTAACATAGTCAGTGCTGGTAGAAATTATTCAATACAAGTGATTGTAAAGAATATTAATTTTAAGAATCTTTCTCAAGAAGCTGGAGTTCAAACAGCATCAACTACTGTGGCTGCTGAAGTGGGGGACAGTGATCAAAAGAGATCCTTGTCTGACTTGCTTCAGTTTGTAATGTTTTGATGGGAATAAATGTAATTGCTGGATTTGCAGCTCAGAAGAGGGAAGAAGAGCAGTCTGTGTTTTGCATAATTGCCTAATGGATAGAATATTTATCCAGAAAGCCAGACAGTTGTTCAAAGACTCTTCGAAGCTCAAGATTTTGCACCCACTCTCCTGTGTATTTAATAGTTAAGCTAGATTGCAAAGTGGTTTAGTGGGAATATGCATTGCTTCTATAGAAGCTGAGCATCTGGTGAGCATAAATGCAAAGTTCATGAGTAAGAAAGAGGAAGCCTTTCTTCCTTGCTCAAGCCCTGAATTTCCAGCTTGTCAGGAAGAGACAATTCTGAGGCTCTGGTCCCTGTTCTCAGGAGGGCTTTAGCACCTTACTTTAGAGCCATGGGATGAAAGTTAGAAATAGTCCAAGAGAAGGTATCAGAAAGGCTTCCTAGCAGGGTATCTTAGACATGAGGCTCTAAAGTGCCTTTTTCATACTGGTCTTCCTTTCCACTCCATGCCTTGCCCCTTGCACTGTGATTCATTTTCACAGAATGGTGCCTTGCTTTTAATACTTTGTAGGATGCTTCACAATACCCCATGGTCTTAAAAGCAGTATGACTTTTTTTATTCTTTCTTGCAGTCAATGGAGATATTTCAGTCACGATTAGATGAAGCTGAAAAAGTTGCATCCAGAAAGGAAAATTATTATGGAAGTGGAAGATGGAAGAAACCTGACTATTCAGAAAGTGAGAAAGAGAAGAAAGAACGGTATATGAAAAAGGAGACACGAGGTGAAGATGCTAGGAACAGGAACACATTTGGGGGCTATACTAGGGAGAAGTATGGCAAGGAATGGGTGCAAGAAGACAGAGATTACAAAAGAGATACGCCAAGAGAAGACCAAGGACATGGACGCAGTAGCACAGACTCGGTATTGAGAGGCTCCAAAGCAGAACAATATTCCAATGAAAAACGAAGTCAGGTAAAGAGTTCATCTCTAAACAACATGAAACACAGATTTCTGAAACCCTCTGAAGATGATTTATCTTCTTCACCTAGAATCTATGAGTCACAGCAGTCCTCTTCCAGACTGACTGTTCATAGCTCTTTGAGTAGCCGTTTCCAAAAACCGTGTGAGGATATTGCACTGTGGACCAAAACACGCAGAGAAGACAACAATGAGAAATCAATGTCTGATCAAAAATCATCAGGTACTAAGGAGCAAGTCCATGACAATAGTGGGGAAAGAACTCCAAGTGATGTAAAAGAGAGATTGCATCAGGAGTACCCAAGCGATATCTCCGGGAAGAAACAAACATTATCTGACAGTAAAGCATCGGGTTCTAGGTATTTGACAACCATCTTTACTTATCTTTGCTGTGTTTTTCATGGCAAGGTGTACTCTATCTTCCTTGTGACAGTATTATAATCATAGAATCATAATCATAGAATCAACTGGGTTAGAAGAGACTTTTAAGATCATCAATCCAACCTTTACCCCAGGACTGCCAAGACCACCATGAAACCATATCACTGAGGGCCTCATCTACATGTATTTTGAACACTTCCAGGGATGGTGATTCCACCACTTCCCATTATATGAGATCTTTTTAGTTAGGAAAAGGCTAGCCTCCCAGCTGGGGCAGCTAAAATGGATCACTGTAGAAGTGATGGACTCCTACTTGACTTGTCTCAGCATATCTGAGAATTGCTAATGATTATTTCCTGCTTCTTTCAGTTCACGCTGCAGTAAATTAATCTCTTAGGCAAAAAGCCTACAAACCAGTATCTTAACTGTGGTTGAATTTATAAAATCAAACTTGAAATGTTAGAACATGCTGACTATAACCTGAAATAATTAATACAGCCAGGGATAGCTTTGCCACCTGTGAGATGAACTCATAGGCTAAAGTAGTAGCATATGAAAAATAGTAGAAGGTATTGACTACAGAAGTGCATTTCTATGGAAAAGAGGGAAGATGAATAGGAATGGGAAGGGAAATGCAAACCAGTATGTGGTAGGAAATACAACTAAGAGCAGTAAGGAGGGGTCATCAGGAAAGTAAGTCGTAGAGAACTGAGCTTTTCTCTACTCGAGGCCATGTGTTCTCCAGTATTACCAGCTTGCTGGTTCTTTCAGTGGAGTTATTACTGTGAATGTTTTCCTTCAGATCTTTCCAATAATAGGTACGCATGTGCAAAAGTATTTTAGAGTCAGGATGGTGTTATTTAGTTGTTTGAGAAAGCTGAATATGTGACTGTTCTTGGTTGGAGTATGTAAGAAGGATGATATCTGGAAGTGTTCAAGGCCAGGTTGGACAGGGCTTTGAGTAACCTGGTCTAGTGGAAGGTGTCCCTGCTCATGGCAGGGGAGTTATAACTAGATGATCTTTAGGGCCCCTTCCAACCCAAACCATTTTGTAATATATATTTGGAAACAGCATTTGATTAAATATTACCAGGTATAATTCCTCTTTTTTATGTGTTTATGTCAGTTATTTGCATAGAAAATTTTGCAGCGGCATTATGAATTTACTTTTAATATTGAATTGTTGGATTCTAATAACTGGACAATACTTTAAAGGTACTTATTTTATTTATAACAGTTCCTACATGTAGTACTTGCAGATATCTCATTGCAAAATTGTAAATTTAATGAGTCCTGTGTGACTAACCAGACACAGGCAGCTTAGTCTGCACAATTCTCTGTATTGAACAAGTTGGGTATTTTTTCCAGATTTTACTTGCTGTGTTTTCTACTTTGACAAGGGCCAATGGAATTTACATTTTCTTCAATAGCAGGGAAATAATTTATTTGCATGATGTTTGCTTAATCTAATTTATTTATTTATTTCTTTAAAAAAGCGTGAGTTTGACTATACATCAGAGCAGGAGTAGTACCTGATTCTGGCAAATAGTTTGTATGTGACTATGGCAAGTCCCACTCATGTTTGTCATGTCTTGTTTTATTGTTTAGTAGTTGCCTGAGTGTTACTTTGCTGGAGAATGAGAAATACGTGTTTATATTTGTTTCAGTTACTCTGAAAAAAAGATCTTGTAGCATTAAGCCTGATGAGACAGTAGATGTTTGAATTTACCAATCCTCTTTGTTTTTCTGGATATTGGCCAAATAGATATTGCCTTGAAGTGCCTGGGGTTTACCACTTAAATGTACTTTGTAAACTTCTGATTAGAGTGACATACGACATATCTGAGCTGGGGCCTATGAGACTTCAGCAGTTTTTGAGTCCTGGTTTGTTCCTGACTTTGTTCAGGTACAGGGTCTGCACTATCCACAGTTATTTTCTGCCTGCTTTGGGTAGTACATTGCTTTCCACAAGGGAATGTAGGTGTTCACGTAAGGAGGGATGCTGTGGTGAGCTGGGAGGGTGCATCTGCATTGCAGTACAGGCACAGATGCCATGAAAATATACACTCAGAAATGGGTATCTGGAAAACCCCCACCCTGTTAAGAAGCTTCTTTTTTGCGCACATAAAAAGTCACAATTATGCATGGTTAGAATCTTATCCTTCATCTTGATATCATGCACTTTTAAAAAGCCACCCCAATACTCACTGATTAGCAGCAAATAATCTGTGTAAATGACATATAATCCTTTAGCAAGTCTACCTTCATTCTCAGCATTGTTTTCTCCATGACCTCCAGAAGGAGAACGCAAGATCTAGTATCTGTGTTGTACAGCTGATGGCAAGTAGGAATCCGGACATCCAGTATCACAGAATCATAGAATCATAGAATGGTTTGGGTTGGAAAGGACCTTAAGATCATCTAGTTCCAACCCCCCTGCCATGAGCAGGGACACCACACACTAAACTATGTCGCCCAAGGCTCTGTATGCTTTATTTAACTGTGGTGAACTACTGGTTTTGACTGCTGATTGTCCAAAATGCAGAGATTGAGTGAGAGAAACTGTGTGAAAACCCTGCACCTTGTGCTTTTTATTTTAGTTCTTTTTTTCAAGGCAGGGGGAGGAGGTGGTATGTCGGCTGTTGCTATGTGTGTGTTCTGTGTTGACCACATCAAGCAACTAAGTGCGTACCCATCTGCTTGCTCCCTGTCTCTCCTGCAGAGGTAATCAGAAGAGTAAAAGGGAGAAAAGTCCATGTATTGGATAAAGACAGTTTAATAAGTGAAGGAAACTAGATAATCTTGAGGTCCTTTCCAGCCCTAACTATTCTGTGATTCTGTGAAAGAGACAAAAACAAGTGATGCAAAGGCAGGCAGTCAGTCACCACCTCCCATGAGCAGACTGATGCTCAGCCAGTCTCTGAGCAGCAGCTGCTTTGGAAACTGCACACACCAATATTTGTTGCTGAGCATGATGTTACTTGGCATGGAATAGCCCTTTGGCCAGTTAAGGTCAGCTCTCCTGGCTGTGTCCCCTCCTAGCTTCTTGCCCACCTGAGGCTACTTGCTGGGGATACGTGGTGAGAACCAGAGAAAGCCTCAAGCGTATGTAAGCACTGCTCAGCAACAACCAGAACACTGGTGTGCTACCAACACCGTCATCAGTGAAGTCCAAAGGACAGCACCATATGGGCTGCTATGAAGAACATAAAATCCATCCCAGCAAGACCTAGTAGAGCATGTAATTACTGAGTTAGAAATTAGTCATACCATTGCTTCATTATCCATTGCTTCATTATTGTTGTCTTAAAATAGCTTAAAAATGTGCTGCCTCGTCTAGTGGAAGGTGTCCCTGCCCATGGTGGAGGGATGGAACTAGATGATCCTTAAGGTCTGTCCCAGCCCAAACCGTTCCATGAGTCTATGAACAGAAGCAACTAGTCATTTACAATCTTTCTTTGGTAGGTTGGTTGGGTTTTGTTTTGTTAAAAGTGGTTCGCTTTCTTTTTTTTTAGCTGCAAGTACAAAACCTGTACATTTCAGCTTTTGGTTACTACACGTATTAAGTGCAATGCTAATTGTAATTGGACAGATCTGTAAACTTTGGGAATATAGATGGTGTAAGGAAGTGGTTTGCTTATTCAACAAGTTTGATTATTGTGGTAGAAAAGATAATTCTTTTCCTCAAAGAAAAGAACTAAGCACAGAAACTACATTTAGCTGTTATTTTCTTTTGCATGTGTTTTATGTTTTAGTACTGTTAAACCCTACTGTGCATCTTTGATATTTTAATCATATTTCTTAGCCAATATAATTACTGAGCTGTTTTATTAGTAAAGTGGAGATTAGTTAGGCCTGGAAAACTATATAGCATCTCCTTATTGACTTACTTATTTCCAGGGTTTTTTTATAAGTGACTCTTAACTCCTAACCTTCTGTGTGTTTGAGACCTTTCTTCCTGTTTCCTTCAGTGAGAATTGTCTTTTTTTTTTGTAGAAAATCCTGGCTTCTGGAACATTTCATGTTTGAATGTGTGTGTGTGGGGGTAGTTATCTTCTGGGAGTAATTTATAAGCTGCTGCTTTCTTTTTTTTTCCTAAGGTTTCAAGTCTTGTAATACATATACGCTTCCAGCAGTGGTTTCAGCCAGTCACAAAAACTAAATCTTCACTGACGTGAAGGCTTGGATTAGTAGGTGTTGCTGGTTCAATTCCTCATCTCTCACGCTGACAATGTACCTTTTAAGTTTTATTCCTTCTAAAGCACAGAAAGAGTTTCTTCAGCCTACAAATCAAAGTGTTTTGGACAGTTATGACACAGGTTAATTAAAAGTGCTGATTGGATGTACAAGAGTTCTCCCCAGAGGAAAGGTCCATCGAGCTAGTGTTTGCTGAAAATCACACTTAATAACGTGACTTCCTCAGAGTTGAATTTGAGACAAGATAAAAAGCAAATCAAACCAATGTCTCTAGTCTCAGGAAGTTCACATGATGATTCAAGTGCTACCACTGCTTAAAAAAAGCACGAATGAAGTAATAAAGACCTCATGCTCCCTTTTACTGAAATAGTCTGCCTTGTCTTGAAAAATACAGGTTAAGGAGAAGTGAGAACTTTATCTCTGAGTTTTTTAATGTAAAAGTTTCTGCTGAGATTTTGGGCTTTTGGATTAGCCATCTTCAAAACAGATAAAAGTAACTTTAGTAATTTCCTCAGGGCTGGGGAGATCTGACAGTTAAAGATGACACCATCTTCAGAGTTCTTCCATTCTTCAATTCCTACAGGGTTTAATCAGATTGAGTAGTGAATGAATTCTCTGTTTAATATCAGGAATTAACATTGTAACTGTATTCTTATGCCTCTCTTGTGTTAGATATTTTACTTGGAGTTAGTAGGTTTTAATTTTTCCTGGGGTTAGAGGGAAAAAAAGCCAAACTTGTTTGATAACTCTTTGCAATAATTCTTAGAGACCTTATTTATAATCATACAAACCTTTTAATATTCAATTTAAGATACAATACTGTTTATTACTAGTTGTAGCTTATCTAGGGAGCCTTCACATTGTAAAAATGGTACCAGTTATTTTTCTGAGGAAACTTTACCCTATCAGCCATAATGTCTTCAGAAGCAAATATTGTACTGTGAGTAGATAAGGATGGGCATATAAGCAGTTTTCAAGAAGTGGAAGGCTATTTGGCATTCAGGAGAAGAACTGGGAAATGGGCGATGTTGCTGGAGCTGAAATGTAAAAGTATGACCAGAGCCAGAAAGGAGAATCACAGAGTGAGTTTAAATTACTCTTTCTGCTCCTATTTCCCTTAATTTTTTGTCTCTGCTTATAGCTGCTACTAGATCTTGACTATTTTTTCATGCCGATAAAATGTTTGTAGATAGTGCGTTTCTTTTTAATTGATCTCAAAGTAAAAGAAGCCATAAAAATTTTTGTTAAAGATTTTCGATTTCAGAGTCATTAGCAACTTCTGACTGTAAATCTATATATATATCAAATATATATTGTTTACCATTTATTTTGACAATAGGAGCGTATCATAGAATCATAGAATGGTTTGGGTTGGAGTGAACCTTAGAGATCATCTAGTTCCAACCTGCCAGCCGTGGGCAGGGACACCTTGCACTAGACCAGGTTGCTCAAAGCCCTGTCCAACCTGGCCTTGAACACTTGCATGGATGGGGCATATGTACCAGTACAGTAAGCATATAATATTTAATTACACAGGTAAACATGGCATTGTTTTTCTATGGGTTTAGTGCTGTTGGTGTTTTACAGAAACACATCAAATAATGAGCCACCTCGGATCCTTACTGAAGAGGAGATGAACAAACTGGGAGCGAGGATTGTGAAAGCAGAGCTCATGGGAGACATGGTAATGCCTATGAAAAATTGTTATGATTTACTGCAAATTTTCTTGAAAGCTCACAGTGATTTAGTTGTTTAAAAAAGAAAAAAAAGTATTCAAGCAAATAACGTCCTGCAGAATTTGATCAGTTAGGACTTGAACATACTGCTTTTACTGTAACTTCTATTTTAAATGCAGTGGTTCTTGGACTAGAATAGAGGTTCAGGTCCCCAGGTTTTGTAGGCTAGGCAGCATATCCAAACCCAGTTGTTCTGTGCCTTTGTTATAGTATTTAATGTCTTGATCAAGCAGGTAGCAGGTGAAAACTACAAAGCTACCAGTCTGTGTCACAGCACAGGGCGTGTCTGGTGCTTTTGTTATTGCATCGGCTTTATCACAAGTAGATGTTTGTGGCCTGTAGATCTGATTGTATAAGTATAGTTACTAATTATGATATGGAAATGCAAAAACTGAAAAGGAACCACAAAGGCCATTGCATCCAGCTCTGCAATGAGAACAACTGCTAATAATACTGTTAATTTTATATGTACAGTTTTTCAACACAGGCACTCTGAATTAGCCTAAGTAAAAAATAAAAAATAAGAAATAAAAGCAATCGAAAACCCAAACAAAACTTCACAAACATCAGACAACCACAGCATACATAATAAATAAACTAATCTTTGCCGTGTTGCTCTTTAAATATTTTTTCATGGGCTTTCTTTGACCAGATTGAAAATGCAGCTTGTTTAAACAAGTCCCGAACAGATGGTGGTGTAACAGCATGTTCTGGTGGCCAGAGGTTAAGGTTGACCATGTGGGACAAATGAATTCTGAATCTATTTTTGTTACTGACTTGCTGCTTGGTGTTGATCAAATGATTTAATTTTGGGGCAGCAAGTATTGGCTTGATTGTTGGAGTCCAATCAATGAAACTGGCAAAGTGTTCAGAGTATATATGGTTGTATTTCTTATAGGCTGATAAGTTGTGACCTAGCACTTCTTACAAACTGAGGTATTCTAAAATGATTTTATTTACTTGATAAACAGATGGATGAAAGCAATTCACACAAGACTGTAAACAGTTCTTGTTTTCCACTTCTCATCCATTTTAGTACCCAAAGTAAGGTTTTAAGTGTCACAGTTGGGCATGTGGTGTCAAGAGATAAGAAAAACTGCATAATAAAAATGTCTGAGGGATATTTCCTTAGACCTATTACGAAGGAATACGTAGCATAACCTGGAAAAGTTATACACTTGGTGTGTTCAGGCTTCCTTGTTTAGCTTCCTATATATAAAGTAGTACCTAAGCTTAGCTATACAAAGTGTTTGTTAGTATAACTGAATAATGTTTAAGCATAGTTTTTCTGTTTTTTTAATGACAATATATATTTCTGTACTTTAGATGCCTCTGTTCTGAACATTATTTTTTTCTTTTCTCTCCGGTAAGAAATTGTGTGAAATATATTGACATGCTTTCTTTAGTCTTTCATGTCATTAGAGTTAAAAAAATAACCAAAACACAAAGAAATGGAATGAGTATTTAATCAGATATAAGGTTTCTGTAAGTTTTAAATGGTTAAACTAATGGGGTACTACCACTTCCTTGAAGGAGTTAGCTTCAGAACTTCAAGCAGAGCTTCGGAACGCTCGCAAATTGAGAGAGACTCAAGGGCAGATTCCAACAAATTCTGGCAGAGAGGTAAGAGGAAAATATTCTTCTTTTCTTTGTACTACACAATGGTATGATACAGGTAGCAGCTGAATTATACAGAACACAAAATGTACTTAGGAAAATTACAAGTTGTGATTTTAGGTGAGTTATTTTTCAAATCAAATTGTACTTTTTGGTGGTAAACAAAACTTTCTTCATTGTTCTTTAGCAACTTCCATAGGATTTTTTTACTGGTAATATTTTCTAAGTAATGATATTTCTTCCATTAAAAATAAACGTGGTGTGTGTCATGTTGACTCTGCTGGCTGTTACATAACTCTGATGTTTCTGAAAAAGCTGGTGCTTCAAATGTTGTTCTTTTTAAAGTATGGTATTCAAGAAATGGATAGTAATCTTCTTCCATACCAACTTCGATAAAGCTACAAGGAAACAGGGTTAATATCTTCATTTATGAGCTCTGTCCTCAATGATGGAGAGGAGACTTTTAGGCAAAAACTAATGTTCTAACAATCTTTAGTTTTTGGGAACCAGGACTGTTGCCAGTCCTGCTGTTTTGGACTTTCCATGGTTTGCCACTTCAAATAGTCCAGTGGAAGGTGTCCCTTGACAAAGGGATTGGAACCTTTAAGATCCCTTCCAGCCCAAAACCATTCTGTGATTCTGTGATTCCCTTACAGATACAGCAGCATGGTTTATGTTTGAAATTCTATGAAGGTTGGCTTTTGAACTGCACCATGCAGAACAGTATCAACCTCTTCACAACTTGATGTAAAGTTGCTCAACTTCATAGGCTTGTGGTAAATTGGCAGACTCCCCACACCATGGTGAAATTCTTGAAGTCTATTCAAAGTCATTTGGATTTTAATTACTGCTAGGACTTGCTTTCCAGAGGGTGAGGGTCTTCCTGTACATTTCAGAGGCTTGCTGTCTTTATGAATGTGCCTTATCTGTGCCTGTTTTGTGCCTACTTCTAGCCTGTATTATGTGACATCCTATCCTGTGATGATTGCCAGGTCAGTCCTACTGGTTTTATAGCATCAGATTGAGTTTGGACTACTGGGACACAAACAGAGTGTGTATCAAGGGCCAATTAGATCACGCTGTTTATCATCTAAACAACCCAGATGTTCTGAAACCATCTTGTAACACCAGAGGCTGATTTGTGCAGATGTATTTGATACTGTATGAATGAGTCTTTCTATAACATTGACACCCAAGTGATAGCCTTAGCCAGTTCAGCCAGATGTATTGCAAGTAAGATACTTGAAGCAGTTTCCACAGAAGTGGTTTTCCAAATGGATGTCTCATTGATCCCAAAGTTTGATAGCTTTGCCTCTGCTACCAGTAACAAATATGAAGCATTTTGTTTCAGGCAGGTCCGTCTCTGGTTCCTTGGAGCAGCATGGCCAGTGTTGTGTTGAAAAGTCCTGAAATGTGGCTTTGCCTTATTTTCACTTCTGCTGGGAAAACTGGGGAGATAAATCAGGAAGCATGAAGGCAATTCTAAATGCATCTCCCTAGGAAGGTTTTTTCCTTCTTGACTAATTGAACATGGATCGATTTCCCAATTCAGTTCACGTTGTGACTAAATGAAGACTCGTGCTAGTATAAGGGATGTGCATGGGTAACTGGGGCTTGTACAGAGGAGACAGGATCAATTCTTTTGACAGCAGTGCTGGTTTATTTTGCCTTACAGTGATGAAGAAACTGCAGTTGAAGGGACTGTCAGTTGGTAGCTTAAATCCTGGTTTTATTTGTTTGTTTGTGAGAGAGAATAGAGGCAAATCTACCTTTTATAGCTAGTTTGATTTAGATAAGAATTCTACCGCAAGAAAGCACAAAAATACTGTTTTGAAGAGCAGTTTTTCGAATACTGATGTTTGATTTTTAAAAACCGTACATTTATCAGATGATGTATTTCACCAGTTACAGATCCGCGTAAGACCACTTTGTTACTAGTTTACATTTTGGCTAAAGTTATCTGTAGTTTGAAGACCTGCGGTTTGCGATGCATTTAGATGTTGCAAGTAGGTACTTCCAGATGAAAGAAGCAAAAAAGCATGATGTATGCATCTTTCTGAACCTAGAATAGCAAGAAAATTGTAAAAGATACTGAAGCAGAAGTCCGTGGCTGCATCATGAGTAAGCCCCACTGGATAATTTCTAGTAGCAAAAATTTTCCTTGGGGAAGAGTTGTTTTCTTTTTTATTTTGGATTTTTTTTTTCCTTCTTTGGTCTTAGTAGTTAGGCTCATATTTCTATTAATGAAGTGAACACCCACGAATAATAATGTTATAGGTTTTCTGTGTATGAAGGTATCCAGGTTAAAATTACGTACAGGCTAAAAGACGTTTGGATTCTCTTTATACTGAAAGAAAACAGTAACTTTTTAGCCTTAAACCATTTTCAGTGGTATTGAAGTGTTTCTTTTATGCATTACAAGCCATTTTACCTGTCTAACATTTGATTTGCTGGCCTTCCATGTGTCCAGAGTGCAGAAAAGATGAAAATTTATTAGCTGTGCTTAACTTATTTGCGGCTTTTGGGCAGCTTCATAAATGGGATTCTTTTGCATGAATTGAGAGATGAATTTTTCAGTAAAAGTTGTGTGGGTTTTTTTGAAGAGGTTAGTTCTAAATCTGTTTGAAGAGGTTAGGTTTTCTGTTTATTCCTCTTGAAGGTTTATAAGTAGCTGTCATCTTGGTTTTTTGATATTTCGCAAAAAATACTATGGAATGTAGTTTGGGGAGATTAGCTCACTGAAGTCTTTCCACATTATTCCCCCTCCTCCCAGTTTCCAGATCATCTGAAATATTTAATTTCTCAATTGTACTTTTTGCTTCTTATTTCCTGTAGATTTTAAATAGAATATTTATAAATAAATACAGGTGTGTATCTATATATATCTATATACATCTACCCACACATATACATGAAACCTAAATAGAAGATAAGTGTTTTTTAATAGTCTCTGAACTGGTGTGCTATCATAAGTATTTTCTTAGTTAATTGTGCTAGGATAGCTAAGAAGTATTGCTGTTATCAGGCTTAATGCCTATAAAGATACAAATTTTCTGCTCTACAGTAAGCAGAAGGACTGTGGGAGGCCACCAGTGTGTATCAGGCTACCCTAAGTTTTTCTCTATTGAGGAAAAGGCCCTCAATAACAGGGCTTTGTAAAACAGAACATGAGACTAAACAAGAAGATAACTGGGCCCACGAGGTAGAATTATTACTATTTCTTCACACATCTAAATATGTCAGTATCTGATGTTTTTAAGTGCATCGTAGGTTATTTTCTGTATTATTAACATTAATTAAACATTTTGATTCTAATATCTCTAGATGAAAACATGAGATTAGGTTGGAACAACAGTTTAAGTGCTCTAGACACTGAACAAGCCTGATTTATGGCACATTGGATTAGATGGCTCACATGGGGTAGAGGCTCTGTGTGTGTTGTAAATGGAAAGTCTGTGACTAAAGGCACTAATGCAAAATGCATAGGTGCCTCAGCTGGTTTTGTGTGCTCAGCTCTAGTGAGACACATCAGCTTCTCTGAATGTACCATCCTGACAAAGTCCATAGACAGATGTTACCTGTGTGGTGTGTCTGTTGCATGCTGTCTGGATGTTTCAGCTTGGGTAGAGCTCCTTGTTGCTCACTGCAGGATATCTTAAGTGTGTAGTCTTGTGAATTTTAGTATGATTATGGTTATACTATCTGTTAAGTGAAATTAGGGACCTTAAAGGCTACTGTACCTACACACTTGAGTTGTATGCTGTCACGAGGATGAATTAAAATCTAGATTGTATTTGTTTTGCCTTTGCGTTTGGGCATGAGGCAACCTTCAGAGTCTACCGAACTAAAAAAAGATGGGTGATTATGCAAAAGAGGCATCTGGGCTGTATGAAAGGCCCAACCCGGAGTTAAATATTTGAATAGATAGGAGTACGTGATGGTTATCTTCAGATGTGTATGTCCAATTTGTCACGGGCATTTTGAGAAAAGCAAAGTTGTGCTTTGAGCCCTAGTGAAGCTGTTAAAGAGTTGGCTGCTGTACCATAGGGTTTCTTATTTAGGATAGATGAGGAAAATGAGTACTTACTGAATGTAAGGAGACAGAAAATTGTGGAGATTTCAGCATTTAAAAATAACTTCCATATGTTCATGGTTTACCTCTAAGTACAGTTTGTATTTCTCTTATCTGAAAGTGTTACACAGCTCTTGATATGAGTGCATTGGTTATGAGGATGTCACCTCTACCATTGTCAGTACTAGTCATAACTGATGTAATTTATGTTTTTATTCTGTATTATTACTTAACAGCATATATCTGGAACATTAGTACTTCTTCAAAGCCCGTCATTTGCAGTGGTTTTTAGTGGTACAAAAGATGGGAGGTAAAATTTAAATGAGTAAGAGGCAGAATGTAGAATATTTAAGTTGGAAAGGACCTATAATGATCATCTAGTCTGACAACCATCTAGTCCAAATTGAAAAGGCAGATTGAAAACAAGTGGAAAAGAAGGTGATTCTTCACAGAGTGGTTGCTCCAGGAGGTTGTGGATGGTGAGAGCTTAAGTAGGTTCAAAGAGAGACTGGACAGGTTAATGAAAAACAAATCCCTGAAGAATTGCACAGAAATGATGCCTGGCTTTTAATTGCTGAGTCACAAATGCTTGTAGGCATCCTTTCTTTTCATAGTCTTCACTAGGCATTCACTTTTGGCTGCTGCTGGAGAAGGCATACTGGGTTTTGGTTTGATCCATTATAACTGCTTTTATGTTTTAATCTGCATGTAGAAAGTGTTCTTTATGTCAATTCTAAATAATTTATGATGCACATTATTTGTGTGCCTTGCCTTTTCCTTTTTTTTTTTTCCAGAATTTTGTTTATCTTATACTTCCTTCAGTATGGTCCCTGCATAAGAATCAAATCTGCTAAATCAAATCCTTGCGTAAGAGTCAAATCTGCTAAATGAAAAAGAGTTTGCTTTTGTGTTGCTACAAACTGACTTAATTGTG